CAGACCACACATCAGAAAAGTTACATAGCACACATTTTACAATTTTTGGTGTGTGCAGTAACTATTCATTCATAATGTTTGCACCTGTCTCTTTAGCCTCAGCCAGTGTCATCCATTTCTACAGCAAACTACAAAACCTCTTTCATTGTGGTCCATTTAGACCAGTTTGTGATGTCTATCCTGTGTGGTTCTAGCTGCAATAGTGTTTGTGTGAGTGCTTTGTTGTGGGCTGATGTCTCACACATGAAAGGCATATCTCATGTGCTGCTGGGTTTAGCTGTGTCCTGACTCAGCGCAGCTTCTAATCATTGTTATCTCCCGCTGACTTCAGACTGACTCTTGTCCTCCTGATGTGACCATAATGGATTCTTACATTCTAAGATAATTTAGTATAACAGGTGATAGTTTTTTAGTCATTTTAGTCAATTAATTTGTCAGTGTTATCTTGGCTTTTTTCTGTTTTTTTGACCAGAATTTTAGTCGACTACAGCCCTAATATATAGTGATGAAGCTATACCTAACTATCTAGGTTTTGTTGTGGTTTAACCCAAGTTCAGACCTGGTTTGAAGCTGGTTTGCCATTTATCAGTCAAATTACAATATTCACCCGTTTTCAGACTGGTTCTCATGAATTCAGCCCCAATGACGACGAAGATGTCAAGATAACTGTCGTAAGTGAAACAAGCCCCACACAGATTACTTTTATAGGGTTTAAGTTAGCATTTAGCTTAGTTACATCTATTGATTATCTCAGGTGGCTAAGTGCCAGGATTTCAGTCAGACTCTCCAATTAATTACGCTTTTATTGAGTGAGAAGTTATTGACATGGCTAGCCTCAATGAAAGGCGTCAATACATCCGAATGATGAGGGCGTATCTCTTATTACCCCTTTTAAAATAACATGGATTTGTTTGTTTTGTCTGGTGAGGAGGCGTTGGTTTTCAATAGCTGCTAGCCTTGGTTTAAAATGTTGGAAAACGCGATAGGTGTGCATAGTCACGCTAACAAATTTTGAAACCTGATATTTTGCTACTGAGACACACTGTGATAAAATATAATATTGAATCTTCTTTATGCCACTGATTTAAAAACAATAATTCAAAATAACAATAATAAATAGATTGTATCATTAAAATGCCTGAGCAACAACTAAACAGGCATGGCTAATTATTGTAAACCTTTTATAGCTCAAATGTTATTCTTTTACAACAGTAATCCCCCAAATCTCCCCAGTTTTGTACACAAGAAATATTGAATCCTAAAATATATTGATAAATTGATATTGTAATTACCGTGATAATCCAAGGTGTGCAAAATTACTTAAATGCTCACTTCCTTTAGTTTATATGTTATACACATTAAAATGCATCAGATACTTGGTTGAACTGAAATGGAATGTATTTTTATTGTGTTTTTTACTATTTGTCACTTGCTGCCAATAATTTCTGGTTGGAAGCTTCTTTTTCTTAATGTACTGGCTCGTAAACCTGTCTTCACAACTTTTTATTTATCTCTCGAACTTATGAATAAAGGTGAATTTGAACGTAGCATTGATTATTTTATTTTCATTCACATTTTACCATCCACTGTGTAGCACTTATAGCTTATTTAATGACATTGTTTGTTCATATGAATCCAGTAAATGTCTTTTCTCAGTGTCATCTTAGGCTAATGTGCAGTGAAAAGAGGAAGTGCATCAGGGTTAAAAAGATCTACTGTTCCAATCTAGACATTTGCATGATGGTTTGTGAGATAAACCTGGGTTGCTTTAAAGGTTCACTGCATAACATTTATATTGGAGGTTCCGCTACCTTCTTGTCTCCATTGAAATATTATTACTTTGTCTAGAATGTTCCATAGTATAGATTAAATCTATCTATCAAAAGGGTGACAAGCAGGTTACAGCACTACACTACATTACAGTTCAGATCTGTGGAGAGTCGGCCCTATTCACAGAAGGAATGGATGTATTTTAGAGCAATAGAAACACCTGTAATGACTAAACACTAGATGTTTATGTTTAATGTAATTTCTTTGAACATTCCAGGCAAAGCAGTTACATCTCTGTGGAGAAAAGTAGGTAGCAGATCCTCCACCGGAAAAGTTGTGTAGTGCACCTTTAACGTGCAGTTTGATTGACAGAGTTTATATTGTTGACGTGTTGTTCTCACTTTTGAGAACAGAGCTCAACGTGTTGGAGTTACATGAGGATCTCATTTTTAGAGTGTGGAGTATTAAATTAAATTTGCTCAGTCGACCAAGTGTTTACACTGGCGGTCTCAATTGCCATTGGTTGTCGTGCATCATTCCTATCATAAAGCGTGGGTCTTACCAGGACACAGTGCTGCTTTCGTAATTTTCTTTTTATGTTTTTGCAATGTGCGTGTGTGTAGGTCTGTCGCAATTATTACTACTTTTACTACTATTCATTTAAACCTTTTGTTCAAAATACTGTATTATAAATGAAACAATAATTTTTCATGAGGACTTTTTATTTATACTAGTGCAACATTTTTGAGCTATAGAAGGCTGAATTATGAACTGAAATTACACATTACTTAAATATTGTAGAGCTGCATGAATACATAGCAGAATGCAGCACTTAATATCTTTCATTTAGATTTTTTATTTTGAATAATTCAGCGTCATGGTTTAATTTCAGTATTATTGTTTATCGTCAATATATCGACTTAAGCAATATATCGCACTTCAGAATTAGTTAGGCCTACGTGTGTGAGGTTCTCTAATAAGAAGGAGGAGTTTATGGGGACCAATCTGCATTTTGAATATAATAGATGCAGAATACATGACTCATGATGATACCCATCACTATTTTAAAGCACGTATTTTTACAACAGACATTACTTTGAAAAATCTGTACTGTGTATGATATATTTTAGAATCTGCATTGAATAGCTGTTTTACTTTTTTTCAACTAAATTGTATCCCTTTTTTTTATAGTAAAGCCGGGTCAGCTCAAGATTTTAATAGGTCGCACAGGAGTTGCATCTCGTTAATGCAAAAAATAAATTGTCTACATTAGTAAGATGACTGGAGCGGTTTGTGTGTGTGTGTGTGTGTTTTTTAAGGGACAATAAAAATAAAAAAAAGATAGTGGCAGACTGGTCATGATGGACACCCTGAGCTGTGATTGGCACATGTCTCTCCAGCGTTTCCCCTCTCCTTTTTTCACTCCAGACTAGAAAACCCTTGTGGGGAGAGGGTTTAACATGAGGCTGGGCCAAAGTGGGATTTCACACAAGCTTAGCGTTAGCCTGGCAGGTGGTCAGCTCCCACAAACCCTGACGTGCTTGGCAAAGACAGACTGAACGTAGTAGCCAAATATGTTATATGGATCTAATATAGGTCACCTTACACTATGTCAATCATTGGGCCTGCAATATTAATGTTTGTTAATGCTTTCTAATTACTGGCATACAGTATAAGTGGCATATGAAATGAATAGACTGTAGATTTGTTCCTAATCAAATGTTGGATGATTGCAGTAAGAACCAACTGTGGTACAATGTAAACAAACCAAATTTTCAACTTTTCTACTTGTGTATCCCTGTACTTTGTTACTTTTAGCAGACACAATAAGCCTGTAGTCCAGAGTAATTTAATTTTGTGTGTTACATGGCAATGATTAAATGTCTGTCTTGTCCTCCTGTAGAAGTTTAAAGTGTTTTCAGTTGTGATACTAGTTGAAGCAGATTTTATTTACATTTTCATTTCTTTTAAAAGGTCATTGCAATAACATCCACTCTTGCTTTCTACTCTCGCAGATCACAATATAATTTAATGTTTCTTATCACAGCCTCAAAGCATATCAGTGTCACCAATAGGCCGACCTTGGCAAACCTCTAGCCAATGGCCTGCTGGGATCACGTAAACCAGGAAGTGCTTGAATAGCTTTTCACAAATGAGGGAAATGCCGCTGATGAAATCTCTATGTTGAGCTTTGTGAGTGCACATCGTGACCCAAGCCTTTTTTAACAGCTATGAACCAGGAGCGCAGTCATAACAATAGTCGACTTTATCATCCAACATGGCTGCGTCCGGTGTCATGTGATCCCAGGCGCAGGTGGTCAGTGGGAGCGTGATACGTCTGGGGGCATTCAAGCTCACTTTATGAATTTTACACAAGTTAAAGAGGATCAGAATGGCCATAGTGGTGGATGGTACTTACGCAGACATCAGAATGATTTAAATGTTTTTTTTCTTTTCCCCCATGTGTTTGAACAATATTTGTCTTGCCTAAGTACAGATCTATTGCTAGGCCTGTCATGATAACACATTTTGAAGTGTGATATATTGCTGAAGTTAATATAGACAATAAACAATAATATTAAACCATAAACCACAACTATCCACAAAAAATATTGTAAATCCAGCAAGCTGCAGTAAATAAATAGCAGCATGCAACACTCAAGTTCATAATTCATCCTTCAGCTCAAATATTGCTGTAAAAATATCCCTAAATTGGCATAGTAATTATGGTGACAGGCCTATTTATTGCATAAACAGCTGCTTACTACTGTCTAGGTGGAAGTGTTGCTAAACTGTGCAGACTCCTTTCACCAGATCTAAATAAATAATGTTTCCCTGTGAGTCCATGTAATAAGATATCATTATGTACAGAAGGTGGTAGCTGCTGTGTTCGACGGAGCTCTGTTTGTTACATTTTATAATTGTGGTGATATTCAAGTATAAAATGTTTTGATTGTGTGCGATTTTTTTTTAATTTTTAGTAGTTTTGTTATATTGGTGGTTTTCAGATTCTAAAAGGTGATGATGCCATACTTCTGAGGGCAAGATCCAGATTTCCCTATGACATAACTTTGTATTTCAACTATATTCATTTTAGCTGCCCCCCATCTGTATTAATTAATATTGGCCTATAGAATGTGATGTGATCTGAAACCCACCTACTTACTCTCCAGTCCTGTGCTCCATAATATATATGTGATTTAATATGCGGTCCTTCTTTCTCTTTACAGCCAAGCCGTTCACGTCCAAGGTGAAGCAAATGCGGCTGCACAAAGAGGACTTCGAGATCCTGAAGGTGATTGGACGAGGAGCTTTTGGAGAGGTATGGCATCTTCTGCTTTTTACAAAACACACACGTGACATTTGGGCCTCCTACATGTCTATACTTTAATTTGGGTGTAAATTTTCATTAGTTAGTTTTTGGGTGATTTGTATTACAGTAATTGCAGGGCATGAAACACGTTTAGCAATTTCAAAAAAAGGTGCATTGTGTAACTTTTCCAGTGGAGGGTCCGTCAAATACTACCCATGGAGATGTTATTGGAGTGTTTCACAGCTATAAAACCATCTATGAGTTAATAAATGTAAGACAGAGCTGTTTAATGCCATACTGTGGAACATTCCAGGTAGAGCAATGACTTTTCCATAGAAATGAGCAGATGATGGACCCTGAACCAAAATTTACATGATGCACCTTTTAAAGAAGTAAAATAACTTATATTAGTAGGATCTTCACATCTCAAGTTGTTGTTTTTTTTCTTTCAAACTATCGCTGTAAATCTTTAGTCATTTATCACCATCTTTAGGTCATGGTCTACCAAAATTATAATTAGTCGTCCAATAATTTTATGGGGATAATAAAGGATTAAATGAACCACAGCAGAAAGGAGAAAGTATAGAATGACTTGGCTGGATATTTTTGGAGTGAATCATTAATTATACTACCTGCTTTTTTATACTACCTGTCTTGTTCGTGCACTTTGGGTCAAATATATGGTCGAAGAAAAACTGTGGAGAGCCTCTTGGTTGTAAATTAGCAATAAAAAGAATGGGACAGGTGCTCTTTGGAAAACATTCTAAGTACGTAGTATTTCTCCCCTCCCCTTCTGGAGCTATTACAGATTGCACTGTCCCCTCTGCTTCATACTTGGTCGTAAATTGCAGTCCTGTGTTTTGATCGCAGATTACTTTTAAAAAAATGTTTTTAAAAGTGCACTGCCTAACTTTTCTGTATGTCACTTTCTTATTACCTTGGAGATGTTATTGTTTTGCCTGGAACGTTATACAGTGTGGATCTAGCCAGCATTCATTTTGTTATGTTCATTTTAATTGAAAAAAATGACATAGAAGCATGCACTCCTACTGTTACTGTGGCCACCTCTTCACAGATCTGACCTGTAAGTTTATTGTCATACTGTAGCAGCACATTCCAGCCCAAAGCAATAACATCTCCAGCAGGTGGTAGGCCCTCTACCAGTAATGTTACTCAATGCACATTTTAATATTTTATTCTAGATCACATTTCAACAATAACAAACAATAAGTATATAAATAACAATAAAGAAACAAAAGGAAAGTAAAAGGGAACAAAGCGCTTCGTGCCACATTCCGGCAGCACTGAGTGTCACATTAGTCTGCCCAGGAGCGTGACTCTACTTGTAGCTTCCTTTAAAAAAAAGTTATTAATTCTTTCTCCCTCTCGTCACCTTTTGAAATGTGACTACAAACGCCCATAGAGAAAGTACATAGAGATCGGTATAGGTTTTTGTATGCCTGCCGGGAAAGTCCTACTTAGTACTATCGCTAAGTTTCAGGTAGTGATGTCAAGGCCTGGGAATGTTGGAGTGACAGGTGTAGTTATTCTTACTAAAACTCTTGCGTAACGTCACAAATATTTTGTCTGCGATCTGGACTTTGTGTCTTTTTTTGTGTTTGCCAAATTTGACGAAAATGATCATTGGGTCATGTCAGGCCTTGCCCGAAATCACAGTGCAAATAGTTATAATAGCAAATTTGTGCAAACAAGTTGTGGATTCTTTCGGAGAGAAGAGGAGAAATGTGAAAGAGGAATAGATGGATGAAGATAGTTGAACACATTTGGAGAGCCTGAAGCTAGATTGTTGCATAGGCAATTAATTATTTTCAATAGACCTAATGTTAATGTTACATAACTATTATTTTAAGGTAGGTTTTCACATAGTTAATCAATCTGTGGGTGAATGAACTCATTGTCAGTCTGGGCATGTCTCCCCTGGTCAGACATGTGTACACAGTATAATGTATCTATTCATATAAAAGCACTTATAAGGCCTTAGGTTGATAATACAGACTATTGATTTGAATCAGTTGATGCATATAAATCTGGTGAAGTTGGCAGTTTGAGGTGTGGCCTGATAAGATCTGAAAACTTCAGACTGGCAGCTTCAAAGTAACATGAGTTATTAGTCTCCTAGTTTATCTCACAATATAAATATAAAGGTCAGTTGTTGTTTTTTGCTTTGAACTTGCTGAATTAGGCATAATTGATAAAGCTGTTCTACACTTAATCGGAGACCTCTCTCACAACTAATATACAAGATTAAGAATATATTTTGACTTGCCATACCAAGTTCTTGCTCCCAAACAATAAAAAGCATGCACTCCGTAAGCACTTTGAAATTTCTATCTGCATTTTTGTTTATTTCGTGTAACTGTTCATCCTGAAGTGAAACAAAAATGTGAAAACTTAAAAATATACATGATTTACTGAAACAATGATGGTCCCTCAAACATCAGTAAAGTATAGTGGGTGTAACAAAATGAGCCATTCCTGCATTCTCTGCATGCCCCCTGCCTCGTGAAAAACCTAACCCATATGCTTTTAACAGTAGTACAGACTTGAAAGCACCGCCGACAATACGATCTGAGTTTCAAACTGTCATTCATAAGTGTTTTCCATAAAATAAACGGGACCATTTTGGAACCCCCATAGTTTAAAACGGTGTCTTTCAAACTTTTCGCATCAAGTAACATGAAACAGAAGATTTTGCTTTCCGAACAATCAGATCAATCTAATATATAACAGGAGGACTATTCCAGGTCTAATCTAAGCCTAAACTAAATGTACACTACATGAAATTATCCAGAAGAGGACAAAAAAGTGGATAAATTGAAATCTAAATTAGGCAAACCCACATACTGAAGAGCTGTTCATGTACCACAAGGAGCTCACATACCACAGCTTGAGAGACACTGGTCTAAAATTCTCTCCCACAATAAAAAAAGCAAACAACAGAGCAATACTATATAGATCTATAACTGGCATCACAAAATCACACTTTGTCACCCACTGTATCATTATAAACATTTAAAGTTAACTATACTGTGCAAAAAGGATTTCTTAGAGATCAAATACAGGCAAGAATAGGCCTGTCACGATAATTACTATATTGACTCAATATATGACAGATGGAACAATACTTTTTGTGGGTACTAGTGGGAAATTATAATTATTTCTGTTCTATGGTGATATTTAAGATCTAGTGGGTTGAATAATTAACTTCTATGACTCACTATAGACTGATTATATTGTACATTTTAGAATACTTTTTTGTGACTAATTCTGCTTTATGGGTTGATTTCAATATGATTGTTTATCATCTATTTTTATAATTACTATATATTGCACTTCAAAATTTGTCATTGTGACAAGCCTAGGCAACAAGAAGCATTTATACTCACGCAAATTATATCAGATTAAATTATTCATATAAAAATCATTTGTGCAAGCGTAGTACGCAGAATCCATGGGAACACTAGATAAAAGTTTCTTTTGTGTAGGGAGGGGCTTTATAAAATGCCTTCCTTCTCCCCACCTGGACTGCTCCTCTTTCTCATACTACACAGAGCAGCGTGTTTCTGAAGTGGTACGACCCCTGTATGGTGCTTCCTCGTGGTCACATTCCAGTGGTCTTTTACTAGGCCAGCTGTGAGCCCGGATGGATTTCACAGACACGCCAGCACAATCTGACTAGCTCCAGAGGCCTCACAATCCCCCCCTTAGCTGCACTAAACTCACCTTATACAAGAGTGTTCATGTGCTGCTATGTGTCTCAATGTAACACTATGTATAATGTTTACAGCCGTGCGGACAGGGGCTGTACGTAGTCTGTCTCATCGGCATGCGCAGCTCAAATCCCATTATGATGTGGGATCTGCACTGGAGCATGACTTCCTGGTTTTGCTGCGCGATGTTAATAAAGTTACTTCGAATGAAAAGCAGGAAGTAACAGTTTTCATGGCCCATGTGCAAAACAATATAATGCATTTTTGGAATATTATGTTAAGAGCATTTTTTATTTCTCTTGGCAACTGATGTTGTTTTTATCAAGGTTAGCCACAGGGAGACAGACACATGATGATTTGACAGGTCTTTGTACCAGATGCCCTTCCTGCCTTTACAGTATTATGTGATTATATCCTTCTTGTGTCTGGGTGGGTTTGCTCCAAGTTCTCTGGTTCCCTTTAACTTAAACTAATAGCCTCCCCCGAGAATTTTAACAGGCCAAATAACCACTATTGAAGAATGGGTCGAATGCACAGGGCACATTAGGTGACCCTTGCTTCTCACTGAGTAGACCATTTTGTTTTGTAATCATCATTCAGTGACACTTACTAGTATTTCATGTTTATAGCAGTGGTCATCTAAGCCTGGGTCGAGGGTCTGTGGGTTAGTGCCTGTCTGTAAACGGCTGTAGGCTGAGCTGTACAAACCACAATGACTTTTCCATTGTGTTGAACTCTGCAGTGATCCACAACTCTTTACTGGCTTTCGCTGCATCATTGAGTCTACCTCACTCCAAGCGAGTTTATCTTTAGCTGCTGCATCCCCATTTTTTAAACCTTTTATGGGCAAGTTCTCACAATTGTTCGAAATGTCTTCAAAATACATTGTTACAAAAAAGCTTGAAAGGTTTTTGCTCTAACAGATTTCAACCTTCCTTTGCAATGCACCCTACCTAACCTGAATGATCAAGGGATTACACAGATCAATTATTCAAATAAGAAATGCAATTGCATAATGGATAACTTGACATACGTTTTTGTGTATATATTAGGGATGAACAATAACTGAAATATCATAATATTGTATCATCAGAGTTCTCACAATAATATTGTGGACCATCACAATATATCGAATTACAAGTCTCTTTGCTTAAATTAAGAGTTATGGTGCAGCAATAGCTAAAAAAAAGACAGAGGGAACTACATAGGCCATGGTCCTTTACTCCATTTCAGTCTAGACTACCAGAAGAAATAACAGTTCAGGCATTTTAAAGGGAAAAAGAAGCGTATTAACAGTTTTTGCTCTTTAGCCTCCACAAAATATTGCAATAAATATCATACCGTGAGATGTATGTCATGAAAACATCGTACCAAGAGATTTGGATATGGATAATCTTGAGCTTTCCCATGGTATCGCCATAAATATTGTACCATGAGGTTCATACTGTGGTGATCGTATCGTGATACTCTGGTATCGTTACACCCCTAGTATATATATTGGAAGACAAATCAAATACATTAAAAAAACAATGAAATAATTCACATGTATGTAACTCTATTTTGGTTAATCTTAGAAATCTATATTACACCATTCCAACATCTGCTGTGTCGTTGTATTTTTATAAAGTGAATCCAAGCATAATCATAAAATATATGATTTCCTGCTCTCCGTCTGCACATCTCTCATCGCTTCAGTCACGATCGCTAACAAGTTATTTATACGTCTCCAGGGATTACAGTAGCAGAACTGTTGGATGGTAGCAGTAGCATAGGCACAGCTCAGGGAGACAACATGAATAATGACTGTTTTGGTAAGGCCTCATGAAAATTTATAAGGGTTATGATTGCACAGAGCCATTCAAGGGTGTATTTCACTAAACTGAGCATGGTACAGATACAGGGTCAAAGGATCAAGGGACGCCTATAGGGACCGGCCGACAGAGGAGGAGATAGAAAGATGGAGGAGAGATGGTGTGTTTGATGTTTTGGTTTTATTCTAATGGCAATAGACAGGAAAAGCAACAGGAAGCAGGAAGACAATGCACAGTATATTTTAACATCAAAACACTCAGTTAGGGATGTCACAATATATATATAGAATTGTTGTTTTTTGTCAGGAAAGTGTCATTATTTTTGTGACACTCTGACAAAACTACAGTAAAAGTTGATTTTACAGTTGATTTGTAACTAGTTTTATGAAATTTCCTTTCTGAATTGTAAAATAAAGTTAATTTAAGTTTTTATTCTGCACTTTTTGGTTGGGGGTCTGTCACCTGCTTGTTGCTTCGATATGTCATTGCTCTGCCTGTAATGTTCCACAGTATGACATTAAACAGTTCTATCTTACATTTATTCAGTTACAGGTGGTTTTTATAGCTCAAACATACCTAGAAAAACTGACATTCTGACTGTGAGCAGGGTGGCCTCTCCACAGATCTGACCTGTAATTTGGTCTGGTTTGGCCTCCATGAAAATAGAAAGGTTCTGTACCATACTGTGAAACATTCCAAACAAAGCAATAACATTTTCGCTCCACTAGAAAAGTTACACAATGCACCTTTAATGTCAAATTGATGATTATTTATATTTTGATTTGTGTATTGTGATTTGACTGTTTCTTATTCTGTAAAGCACTTTGAATTACTTTGTGTATGAATTGTTCTGTACAAATAAACTTGCCTAATTTGTCCCAAAAAGCCAGATACAATTTTCTGGGTCTGTAAGGTTTCATTGTTTGAACAGTGAGTTCAGAACATGGTAATCGTGTGCTCATTGTTTGTGTTTTGTGCGATGTTATTTTTCTTCTTCCATTGGATTGTCTTGGAACATGTCTATCATCAGCCATCTCTGTTTGTGAAAATCTTTGTGGGCAGAATGGGGCAGGAGTTCAGGACGGACGGTGGACGGACATAGAAACAAAACAGCAAATACTCCCCCACTGCTTAACCCTCTCTCCTCAGCCTCCTCCTTTTCTTTCAGTCTCTCTCCATCTCTCCTCAGCCTCCACCTTCTCCATCCCTCTCTCTCTCTCTCTCTTTCTCTCTTTCTCTCTTTCTCTCTTTCTCTCTCTCTTTCTCTCTTTCTCTCTTTCTCTCTCTTTCTCTTTCTCTCTCCTTCCCTCTTCTCCGCTGAGGGATCACTAGGGGAAATCCAAACATCAGAGGAATGTTATCATTGTATTGCATTAGCAGCATTCCCCACTCCCTTTAATAGACTACAGACTCCTCAGCCTGCCTGTTTACATGGCTGTATTTTTCTGCTGGTTAAGGCTTCCGCTGACCTGCTGCTCCTCTACAATTTGGCCTCTTCATATGTTGTTATTATTCTCTATCACAAATATGACTGATGAGTTCAAATTAAGTATACAGCAATGGCTAGTGGAGCTTGAATGCTTGCTCAGCATTTATCTCCTCCAAACAAACAAAACATGGAAAAGTTTCTCATATTTCAGCTAGATAAAGTGGCTGAGGACTGTACTGGGACATGACGGGCAGCTTTGATAGTTCCTATGCAGTAGTCTTATATTAGCTTGTTCTCGTAAACCTGACTTGCATCTTTTGGTCCTTACTTATATAGTCTGACATTTTAAAATATTGCTTTGTATCACAAAACAATCTATCTTTTCCGACCCAAAAATACTTTCCTGTATGCCTTCCTCCTGATGTTAACAATTTTTGTTGGCTCAGCTTCCAAAATGTTGAAATAACATTGTAACCCTCTATATTTTTTGTCCTGTTTTCTTTGTGCAGGTGGCAGTTGTAAAAGTGAAACACACAGACAAGGTTTTTGCCATGAAGATCCTCAACAAGTGGGAGATGCTGAAGCGAGCAGAGGTGAGTCAATGGTGTTAACAGTATAGTTGAAATTTATGCACATCAGTTTTGGCAGAATAATCTTTTGGTCACTGATGCAAACAGAAGAAAATCCATCCATCCATCCATTTTCGTCCGCTTATCCGGGGCCGGGTCGCGGGGACAGCAGTCTAAGCAGGGACTCCCAGACTTCCTTCACCCCAGACACGTCCTCCAGCTCCTCCGGGGGACCCCGAGGCGTTCCCAGGCCAGCCGAGAGACATAGTCCCTCCAGCGTGTCCTGGGTCTTCCCCGGGGCCTCCTCCCGGTGGGACATGCCCGGAACACCTCCCGAGGGAGGCGTCCAGGAGGCATCCGAAACAGATGCCCGAGCCACCTCAACTGGCTCCTCTCGACGTGGAGGAGCAGAGGCTCTACTCCGAGCTCCTCCCGTGTGACTGAGCTCCTCACCCTATCTCTAAGGGAGCGCCCAGCCACCCTGCGGAGGAAACCCATTTCAAGCGCTTGTATCCGCGATCTCGTCCTTTCGGTCACTACCCAGAGCTCATGACCATAGGTGAGAGTAGGAACAAAGACTGACCGGTAAATCGAGAGCTTCGCCTTTCGGCTCAGCTCCCTCTTCACCACAACGGTCCGATACAGCGACCGCATCACTGCCGAAGCTGCACCGATCCGCCTGTCAATCTCACGTTCCGTCCTTCCCTCACTTGTGAACAAGACCCCGAGATACTTGAACTCCTCCACTTGAGGCAAAGACTCCCCACCCACCCAGAGAGGGCAAGCCACCTTTTTCCGGTCGAGAACCATGGCCTCAGACTTAGAAGAGCTGATCTTCATCCCAGCCGCTTCACACTCGGCTCACCGCCCCAGTGCACACTGCAGGTCCTGGTTCGATGAAGCCAACAGGACAACATCATCCGCAAACAGCAGAAATGAGATCCTGTGGTCCCCAAACCGGACCCCCTCCAGCCCCTGACTGCGCCTAGAAATTCTGTCCATAAATACAATGAACAGAACCGGTGAAAAAGGGCGGCCCTGGCAGAGTCCAACATGCACCGGGAACAGGTCTGACTTACTGCCAGCAATGCGAACACAGCTCCTGCTCCGGTCATACAGGGACCGGACAGCCCTTAGCAAAGGGCCCCGGACCCCATACTCCCAGAGCACCCCCCACAGGACACCACGAGGGACACGGTCGAATGCCTTCTCCAAGTCCACAAAGCACATGTGGACTGGTTGGGCAAACTCCCATGAACCCTCGAGCACCCGATGGAGAGTGTAGAGCTGGTCCAGTGTTCCACGGCCAGGACAAAAACCACACTGCTCCTCCTGGATCCGAGGTTCGACTATCGGCCGGATTCTCCTCTCCAGTACCCTGGCATAGACCTTACCGGGAAGGCTGAGGAGTGTGATCCCCCTATAGTTGGAACACACCCTCCGGTCCCCCTTCTTATACAGAGAGACCACCACCCTGGTTTGCCAGTCCAGAGGTACTGTTCCCGACAGAAGAAAATATACTACTTCTGAACGCTTGTACCAATTTTGTTACTATCAGTATGAAATTACAAGTTGTGACATATTAGTTTAATGAACTGTTGAAAGAAAAATATAAAACATATTTTGGAAAGTTATTCATATTAACATCAGATGTAGGCCTGTTTTTTTTTTAATGATGCAGTATATAAAAAAAAAAGAGTTTCCTTGGATTATCCTGCTCATCCTGTCGCAAGGCCTCAGCTGAGGAAATGGATATCATAATTTTCCTTTGGGTATATTCTCACAGTTTAAAAAATCTAATATAACTTCTGTGGCTCACAATTATAGATGTAGATTTTATGATAACATATATACTGTATACTTGTATAGCAATTTAAAGTGAACTGATCTGTCCAGAATAGTACTTGTAGATCTGCTTGCTGGACATGGCCTCTGGTGATGCATGTTTTTCTCATCGACCTCTCCCTGACGCTCTCACATTCCTCCTGCTCCCATGGGTGCACAGTCTCATACGTCACAAAAGAGCAACCATAAGAAACAATGCACAAACATGGATGTCCTTTTTCTACTGTTTTTCCAACTTTTAACCTGCAGCCAACCAGTCATTTTAATCTTGACATACATTTATAATTACCTTTGAGAAGGTAATTAAGGCTGAGTAGTTTTTATTTTACTAAAGTAACAGCATCATTTAGTCCTTAAAGGGTTCATATTACGCTTTTTTCTGATCTTTTATAATGTTCCTCATCAAAAACATACCTGGAGTTTGTTTTGTTTCATTTACACAAGTTACAAACCCTGCATATTTCTTCCCTTAAACAGAAAACACTCTGTTACACCTTGTGATGTCATGTGGTAATACGCCCTGTATTACTGCTTGACTAGGTTTTTAAACTCTGTGCAATGTCACTAGAATCATTTAAATGATTTCAGCCCTGGAACTGCCCATTTTTACTGAACAAAAGGTAAAAGGTAGTTGTTAAATTGAAAACTATTACTACATAACATCACAAGGTGGAAGAGAGCATTTTGAGCTTTGGAGATGTAGACAGACTAATAATAAAAAGTTACTCAAACGTGTGAATGAAACAAAACACAACTTCAGGTGTGTTTTTGAGGAGGTAACAACATTTTAGCATGGCTTGCAGCTCATAAGCGTCAATTTGGTGTAATACAGGACCTTTAACCTAGACCAGCACTGTTGACAATATCGCTGCCATTTTCTTTTCAAAATCTCAAAATAATCTCTTTATTAGATGACCTCACTTTGGAAAGAGTCCTGCCGTATCAGTACCCTGATGCAACATTACACTTATGCTTATCAGTGTAAGTGTAATAGCCGTTTACAAACCAAGACTTCATGTTCTACTTAATGATGGGTCCCAATAGGCCTCTTGCGTCTCTGGAAAACTGTGGTTACCGCTTGAAAACCTGGTTCAGATTGATACAGACTGTAAATCATATGTCATGTATGGAGCACTGTGCATTCTCCAATCCAACTCCTCAAGTGGGCTACTCTTTACTTAGCTACTACCACTCATTGTACATTGCATTTCAATGAAACTTCCAATGTTAAGTGGATTTTGTTGTACAGTTGAAATTTATATGGGTAAATAATAAACCTTCTAAAATATAAGATTTGGATGTGTTCTCAATTCAAGATAAGCGGTCTCTGCCCCCTCTGTACTAACAAGGCAAGACAAGTTTATTTGAATAGCACAATTTGTACACAAAGTAATTCAAAGTGCTTTACAGAATAAGAAAAACATTAAAATTACAATACAAATACATCAAAACATAAATAATCATCACACAAATTTAAATTGCCATTAAAAGAGAATCAAAATAATAGCTTCCTCCGTTTTCTCTGTATCTAAATGTGTATTGTGGTGTTTTGTTTAGACGGCGTGTTTTCGAGAAGAGAGAGATGTGTTGGTGAACGGGGACTGCCAGTGGATCACAACTCTGCACTACGCCTTCCAGGATGACAACAATTTGGTAAGTTTTCTTTCGTAACAATACACCACTAGCATTTTGTATGAAGGGGTGGGCGGTATTGACAAAAATTCATATCTCATTTGCTGTAACAATATTTTTTTGTCTTGGTTGAGGTTTATTTCAAGCACAAAACATGAATAGACACCAAAATGACCCACAAATAACAATTAATGTTTGATATTTGATAGAACGGTGGGGTGTGGGAGGGTTTTATTCATTTATTTATTTATTTATTTTCTATTTTTGTTTAGTAATTTTCAAAACCGGAAAAAAAAGAAAGAAACGTCACTTTAGTTTATACCCTTGTTTGAGAGATTACAATAGATGTTTCATTCTTAATTCATTTTTTCATAGTTTTGATTACAGTCAATATACTCTGCTATACTCTTTTGCCTATTTTGGAGTCTAAAACAACGATTGCAATATAATATTTTTTGGATAAATCTCCCACCACTTTCAGTGCACTCCATGTAAGCATTTTATATGAAATGTGTGGTCCAATGGTTTTCTCTTATTGTTTTTTATTTCAATATTCGTTCGCTCAACCTACTATCTTCATATTTGTGGTCAAGACAGAAACATCTATAGCCTTTTTCTATTGTTCTTTTCATAGAAGTGATCATTCTGCTTTTCCAGCAACCACTGCAAATGTTCCCAGCTTCTCACTCTGATCTGAGTCTCTCTTGTGCTGGCACATTCCTCCACTTTGAGCCGACACCCGCTGAGCCCGAACACTAGCTCCACCTGTCATTTCCTCCACATCACTCATCTCTTCATTTTTAGCACGCAGTCCCACCTCTGCAGTCTGCGCTGACACTGTAATGTGCACATTCACTTTCGCCCACATAGAAAAGCATGACTCAGGCTTGTAGGAAATTAGGTAACAAATCAAGAACATGTATATTAATAAAAGTCAAGTGAAAGGAAGAGGTGGGAAAGGTGTCAGAAAATGTCTTCACAAGTGCTGTTAGGAACGGCATACTTTTGGCCTTTACTTTATAGGAGAATTATTTAGAGGTGTTGTCATTCAGTTTATTCTTAAATTATGGTTACATTTTTTACATTATTACACTTAACTTAAAACTTCCTGTTCAATGTTCATAAAAGAATATAGGAAGTTCCTTGATTTTCAAAATTGGAGTCCTCATTTCTTTTAAAGGTGCACTTACAGCGTTTCTGGTGGAGGGTCTGCCAACTGCTTGTTTCCATGGAGATGTCTTTGCTTTGCCAGGAATTTTCTAAAGCACGTCATTAAACTTATCCATATCCAAAGAAACGAGCAAGTGACACTACAAGGTCAAGTTACAGGACAGATCTGTGAAGAGGCGACTACACTGACAGTGAGAAGTTTTTAAGGTATTTTTGTGCAATAAAAATACCTGTAATTTAATTTACATAAGATAGATGTGTTTTATGGTATACTGTGGAACATTCCAGGCAAAACCGTAACATTTTCATGAAGACACCTCGGTGGCCTACCCTCTGCCTGAAACATTGCAAAGTGCACCTTTTAACACTTAACAGAAATATAGTTGTACACAAGCCTGAATGGATCCTCATGAGATTGTGAACTCTCAGATATCGTGAGAATTCATGTTGCTTCATCTTGCTGGCCAGGTTACCATCAGTGACCTTCAGTTCAAATACCGCGGCTGCTCCTCATTCCATTTCCCACATTCTCACAACAGATGCTTTGCCCGGACACTCCCCGAGGTTTAAAGCTACTGCACCGCTCATATTTTTAGAAGACTCCTGAAAAGTTTTGGCTCTCAGCTTCGTTGCTCCTCAAGGAGTAGTAACGGTGTGAGAAACTGGACAGCAGCAGCGTGAGGCAGGAGTTTATGACCACTCACAAACCACATGGACATTATCTCTTTACATTGAAGTAACGTGACAGTGTGCTAAACTACTCTGTAAATGACATTAGTCTTGGGACACTGCTCCATGTCATAAGAGCACATTCCTACTGAATCATCAATGGAAATAATGAATTCTATCTGAATTATAATTTACTATGCTTAATATCAGCACTTTCCTTTCTTTTCTTTCTTTATAGAAGGTTGTTTACATCTTCATCAAATGAAGTTGTGTTGCTTTTTAATGGTATAATTGTGTTTGACCTTTTATTGCACTGTTCTTCTGCAGTACCTGGTGATGGACTACTACGTGGGTGGTGATCTCCTGACTCTGCTCAGTAAATTTGAGGACCGTCTTCCAGAGGAGATGGCCAAGTTCTACCTAGCCGAGATGGTGCTAGCTATAGACTCTGTCCACCAGCTACACTATGTCCACAGGTATGGTGCAGTATCTGTACAAAGATGCCATAAGTAGCAACAATATGAACATTACATTACATTACAATACATTATTTTTGTGATTTTTAAAATTACATTTGGGTTATGACTGAAATCTCAGTATTGTAAGTTACTTTTTATTAATGCTCATCAAATATTTTTTATTGGACCACTTGCAAGGGATTGGTGACGCATAATTTAATCATAATATTTAGTCTAAAAATTTGTAGAGCTCGTTTTGCAATCTTGAATATTTCTCACAGATGGAATTAATAGCCACTACAAGAATAGCAATAACATCAAAACTGTGACCAATTTTCTCCAGAAATCTGCATCTTTTGATATTGGTCTTAAATGTCTACTATACAGTATATGTGGTGTGGTCCTCCTTCTAACTGAATCCCAAAGACTGTCTTTGACCACGGCCTGATGATGGATGCTCCATGGACTGACATTATTCTTTTTGTGGGTAGTTTTCCAGCTGCATGGTTTTACTGTGCTATTACTGTGGTTAATGAAAACAAATGCAGATTGGGAGCACATGTTAGTTGTCAGTCATCACCCAAGTGCGTTTTTACCACTCAATAATTTCACTGTTTTGGCTCATGTTCAATCGTTAAATAAAGTTGAGGTTAAGTTCAGTGCGTATAAGAAATAGATTCTTAATTTCACATGTTATCGGTTATGTTGGCTCTCATCTCAGTTTTGGCTTCTGTCTGGCTACTTTGTGATTCTCTTTGCTGGTGTTACTTGAATGACATTTATTGTAGACCTGCTGGCTCTTTTTACTCACATGTTTTGTGCTTGCTGTCATGGCTCGACATTTCGAGATTTGGAAAAGTTAAATAAGGGAGATAATTTGTAGGGGTTCCATAGGGCTTTTGTCTTTGGACCAATATTGTTTGGTAAAAAAACAATCATGCAATAAAGTTTAGTGAGGTTTATGTGTTTTTTTTTTATATTTGTGTGATTGTGACTAAGCCATGTGTCTGCCTGTCTACCCAAGAGTTGTGTTTTAGGAGGTAGCTTACCACCTGCAAATGAGAGTTCTTTTAACAACTACATATTAGCAAATGTACATAGGGCTGCAATTTGAGTGGATGCTATTAGAAAAGTGCAAGGGCTGCAAATTTTTAAGTACTACAGTAGTAGTCTCTTAACATCTGTAGACTTATTTTGGATACAAACTGTTAACCCTTTAGTTAAGATTTAGTTAAGTCTTGTAACATGTTCTAAAATGTGATTCTTGTAGTTTTGCCATTCATATTTCAGTGTTTTTTTTTGTTAATTATTTAAAAGTTTTAACTTTAAACTATTATTAAAACTTAAATCACAAATTTAAGTGCAGTTGCAATGCTTGTTGGAAAAATGCAGTTAGCAGCTAGCCCTAATGTTACATCATTTAAGCTAGTATTTGGTAGATAACCTTAATCATATTTTGTTAAATTAACTTGGAGTTTGCAACTACATATTGGCCTGTGATATTTTTATTCCTACCATATTGTACAACATAGTGATTTCTGGTCTCATGTTCACTGTTAAAGCCTTCATTAAATGCAATAGGAAAGAATTCTACATTTTATATCTTACTGGAGGGTCTATATTTAAGAACCCATAAAACACGATTTCATTGCAGTCCTCTGTTTAGTGTTAGCTGTCATGTCTTGTGTTGCTTTTGTATCCTCTTCCTGCTTCCACTTTACACACCACATTCACTCTCACTCATTTTTCTGCATTGAAGCAAACCACCTCAAAGTGGTCTGTTCTAGGTCTGTAGACCCTCTCGATCCATTTTCTCCTATGGCGTCGATGCCAAAGGAATCCATGGGTCGTTGAAGATGCCCCTGGGAATGGAAGTCGGCCCGGAAGTGGTCACGTTGGCATGTTAACATAATTACAGTGTTGCATTTCACAGGGGACCCATGACAGCAATTTGGACAAGATGGTTCGACAACAAGGGAGGGTCTAAAGTGAAGATAAATCCAGTGAGAGAGAGAATAGAGGGGGAGGAGCCGTATGGGTGTACTTGTTGTTGTGCTTTTGTTACAGGGTAAAAGCTAGACTGAAAAGTCATTTTTAAGATTTTTTTTTTTTTAAATGTCTCACAACTAGATTCAACTAGTCAAAAATGCAGCAAAATGGTGATCATTTTTTTCTCAAAACCTGAAATACTTCCAGATTGCTGTGATTTTATTAATACTATAGAGTCATGGCTACACATTTGGGTTAACTTCACCAACAAGCCATATTTTGCTCTTATACTCTAAAGAGACATCAAAAACTCCCAAGACATGTTGATTTAAATCTATACATTGCAGAAAGGGACAGCCACAAATTACATGCTGTTATATTGGGATGTGGAAGTGTATGGAAAAGCCAAAATGCTCAGGAGGGAGGGGGCAGCGTTCCTCAGTGGTGGACTCTTTTGGGACAGTAATAATGGGGTAAGCAGTGACATGTGTGGGCGGGGGTGTGGTGGTGCTTAGCCCTCTGTGCAGGCTCTCCCATGGGACCTCCTGCCCGCCCAGAGGAGGGGGGAGAGGGAAAGAGAGGAGGGTGTGTGCTTATCTGTGCCTGTTGTACCATATCATTCACCTGTGACTCAAGGGACAGTGCATTAACCCCCTCATTAAAGCTCCCTAATGTATGTTTTAACTACACTACATCAGTTATTCAATTACACACAAAACTGTGCAATTTGTGGCAATACTGTAATTTATTATTTTGAGACTTCATTTTTTCCCTGGGGATTTTCCATTGAATATTTTCTGGCATATTCACCCATAATGAGATCTGTAAAAGTGTTTTTAATTTATGTATGTTTATATTGAGAGACCATAATTACACGAGCGCAAGTCACGCTTCCATTAACATTTAAATTGCAGTGTTACAAATACGCCATAAAGCCTATACATGCAATTGTAAAAACATAAAAGATCTATAGCATTCACTACCATCTGGTGAGGTTAGAATAATGGTTGAGTTTATATTTGACATGGTACCTATTTGTATTTTTTATTTGCCCATAACCGTTCCTATCCACAAAACCCAGATTTTTATTAGTGATTTATATTGATTAAAGGGCCTAAATTATACAAAATTGACCCTTGTGAGCTTTAAGTCATGTTACAATGCTGTTCCTTCCCCAAAAACATACCTGAAGTTGTGTTTAGTTTCAATCACACATGTTTGAGTAACCCAGAGTGTTTTCAGTTTAAAAGAAGAACTAAATTTGCTGGGTTTGTGTGTTGCGTGAACAAAACAAAACACAACTCCATGTATGTTTTTGATGAGGAAACAACATTATAACATACTCGAACATAACCATTACAATAGACATCTTATTACATTTATCTTTTTGAAGTATGTGACCTAGGTTTAATGGCCCCACACTTTAAAATTATAATTTCCTTTCCCTATCTGCGTGACACTGATGAAGCTGAAAAGAGCCCAGATGAAAGCACTTGGGTCAACCTTCTGTCCGCAGAGGGCTGTCCCGTGGGAGATGGAGTGTGCTGGGCTAATGCAATGGGAGCCTGTGTCTTATTCAGTGGTCAGTGATCCGCCTGCCCTCCCTGTGGGCGCTGGCAGAGTGTGAATAGGCAGAGTCAGGCTGCCTTTGTGCCTTTGAGCCTCACAGCTGTCCGCCCCGCAGAGAAAGTGATTGGCCCAGTCAGATAGAGATGGAAAAGGTGGGGGGATGGGAGATTCGGGGGTTTGAACACAACAAAAAATATTTAAGATATGGTGATACCTTTAATACGCAAACATAGGGGTAGAAGATATATTGGGGAACAACTGCATAATTGTTCTGGACTTTTTGAAATTGGAATACAGAATATTCCATGAACTATTAAATTATTAAATGACAGCAAAAATTTATAATAATACTAGCTAAAACATCTTGTATAACCTCCCAATTAAGTGTATGAAGTGACATTTCATAAGATATTGCAAACATGTTTTAGCACATTCTTAATAATGCAAAACAAAACAAAACACAAAAAGAGATTAATTTTGGTCAATTTTACCCACTTCTATACTAAAGCATATAGCCAGATTTAGTGGTTTTGTAGCTCAAAACATCAGTACAAGTTACAATAAAACAAAAATAAATGTAGTCTTAAAATAAACATAATTTCGTATGTTTCCATCCAATCCTTTTATTTCAATCAAAAGCAGATGGCATGAGCAGAAGAGTGATATTTGAATATATGTGTAGTAAGGATGCTAAGGTTTGCGCTGCCAGGCTAGAGGCCAAGAAGTAGACCAAAGAGGAGATTTGTAGATGTATTGAAAGAAGACTTTCGGTTGGTGAGTGAGAGAAGACATGGAAATGAACAGATTTAACATAAAGGAAAAAATGAACCTATATTGAAGAAAGAGTTAAATATATTGCCATCTACTTCTGTCTATTACTTGAGCATAAGAATTCAGTTTTTTGCTGTGTAGTTTCAGTTAACCTATTGTTAACCTAGCAAAATGACCAAGTATACAACTACAAAGTCACTGACACACAAGATTTGTGATTTTTAAGAGCATTGTCTCATCTTTCTATTGAGCTTATATAGCAGTTTCATTACATCAATTCATTACATCATATCCTTAGCTAGAGCCTGGGGTTCGTCATGTAAATCGGACAAGGAATTTGAGTGTAGTTTCCTCTTAAGACAGACTTTTATTCTCTGGCTTTTAGCACAGTTGTGTGGTCCTCTGTGTCATTTATTTATTTAAATGTATTTTACTTATTTATGGTTTTATGGATTTGGTTTTATTAGATTTAACTGTGTTTATTGTTTTCAGAGTAGCAAGATAAAATTTAGCTTGTAAACCTCTTGTTGTCTTTTTTTTTTTTGGTCTCTATGCAGCACTTTGCCACCATTTGGACTGAAAAATGCTCTGTATAAATAAAGTGTTTTTTAATATAGTAGTCCAGAGTCCACAGAATGCAGCATCTGTTGTGACTGTAAACTGGTCCATTGGCAGTGTTTCTTTGTGTT